GGAGAACTGGGGGGATCCAGCCTGGAGAACAGGAAGTTCTGGGGAGACCTTGGAACCCCTTGCAGTACCTAAAGGGGCTCCAGAAGAGCTGGAGAGGACAATGGACAAGGGCATGGAGTGACAGGACAAGGGGACATGGCTTTAAACTAAAATAGGGGAAATATAGATATGATTTTAGGGAGAAGTTCTTCCCTGTGAGGGTGGTGAGGCGCTGGCACAGGTTTCTGAGAGAAGCTGTGGCTGCCCCATCCCTGGAAGTGTCCAAGGCCAGACTGGACAGGGCTTGGAGCAACCTGGGATAGTGGAAGGTGTCCCTGCCCATGGCAAGGGGTCGCATCGGGATAAGCTTTAACGTCCCTCACTCCCCAACCATCCTGTGTCTCCCTGACTTGGGCTCCCGGCAGGAGAGCAGACTTGGTGGGGGCTGAGCCTCTCCCACGAGAACGGAGAGAACTCCTTGTCCCTCCCACGTCCTTTATGTCGCCACGTCCCCCGTATCTCCCCGCGTCGCCCACCCTGCGTGTCCCCCCGTGTCCCCCATGTCCCCCGTGTCCCCGAGCCCACGAGCGGCGCGGCCGCACCGCCGGTCTCACACTGACCCCCAGCGTCGGGCGGCGGCTGAGCCCGAGCTGCTGCCCCGGCCGGGAAGTTCGATGGGAATGAAACCCTAATTAAACCCTAATTAGAGCCTGTAGCAAAGCGACGTGACCAAGCGGGAAGCGGAGGGGCGGGAGCGCCTGTTCCCACGGCTGCAGTTACTGCAGCCTTTAAACTGAGCCAGGAAAAGGTTTCTGTAGCTGATGCTTTTTAACAGCCAGGCCAAGTTGCCAGTAAATCATTAAAATCCTTGTAATCAGTCTCCTGGAGCAAAGGTAAGGATTTGGACGCAGTGAGACGCTTTGTGCTGGGAGAGATTTACTTGTGGTTTGTGAAATACTTTCAAAATCGATATGCCAGAGCAAGAGGGGCTAAGGGAGGGCAAGAGACCTGGGGCAGGTGGAATTCACCAGGCAGTGTTTAGACGTGCCTTGGGAAGGATTTGCCAGGTAAACACTAGAGATGGTTACAAAAAGTGCATCAGTAGCAGGGGGACAAGAGCACGAGCAGCAGGGCTCCAGGAAAGGGTTTGGGGCTGAGTCCTGGCAGGGCTCCAGCTGTACCCATCACAGGAAGCCCCACCAGCCCCTCAGACAGGTACTGCAACCCCCCAGGCTGGGCTGGGTTCTCTGCACTCCCTGTTCTGCGATGTTCCTTATGGTTTGTCATTAACAAATGTCACAGGTTTCCTCTTTGTTGCTCTTTCTCACAAAGCCCACGTACAGCTCTGTCGTGTTAATTAATTTCCTCAGATACTGCCTTTCCATGTTTGGTCCTTGATAAAACACTTGCTAGAAATCCAAAATAAGACTCAAAGAGATTTCTCACATGGCAAACATAAAGTTTCATTATGTACCGTAAATTGCCTGTGATTTCTGTGTCAAGGCTCACCAGCTCCTGACGGGAGCACTCCTCCGTGATGGAAATGAGGGGTTTATTCTGTGTGAGTGGTGCAAAGGTCCTCAGGTCAGCAGTGCTCAGGGCAGCTGCATCGGAGGGCTGCAGATCCCTGTGAATTTCAGTTCTAGATGGGGTATCAACTCCCAGAGAACTTCCCAGGGCACAGTGCCTCTGGGAGCCCAAAAGTGGCAGTTCATAGAATCATGGAATCACAGAATGGCTTGGCTTAGAAGGGATCTTGAAGGTCATCCAGTTCTAACTCCCTGCCATGGGCAGGGACACTTTCCTCAGGCCAGGTTACACAGAACCCCATCCAACCTCAATGCTCACCAACATCACCTGAGCTGGCATGACAACACCCTGTGATGGAACAGCAGCTAAACATTTTTTCTTCAAATCTCCAACACAAGACCAACCCTTCCTGCTGAGGAGACAGCAAGAAGGATGCAGCAGGGAGCAGGCTCCTGGTCCTGGTTATTTGGAAGTGAATCTTCCTCCTGCTTTCTCCCATGGAAGAAGAATTCAGCCACTTGAACTCCACCCACCTTTCCCATGGCAGGAAAAGGCCAGCCAGCGCTCCTGATGGATGGCTGTTCAGTATGACAGACCTCACATTCAACAGTTAACAGCCAGCATGTTTACAGGCAACAATTTTTTTGGCTGCTGTCCCTGGCATGTCAGTCATGTTTAGCCAAATGAACTGGGAGGATTATAACAGACAGGGACACTGGTGCAAGTGACAGGCGCAGAGACAAGTGCTGCAAGAAGCTCATTTGCACATCAAGTTTCACAGCCCAGCTCTCCCTTCCTGCTCCATAAGCTCATCAGCTGCTGCTGCAGAGCCGCCAGTTTTCACAGGAATGATGGAGCTCACAAAACCTCTTTTCATTTTTTCTTCCCTGCCTGCTTAGATTCTAACAAATTCTAACATAACCCATTTTTTTAATATTGAGAATAAGCCCCCTTTTATGTGGAAATGTGGGTTTAATGTAAATAGCTCGTGCTGCTCTGATTCTCTCAGAGGGCTGTTGGCTGTTGGCAGTCCCCTCGTTGCCTTTCAAGTCACTTGGGAGTCACTGCTGCTGAGATGGGGATGGATCTCAGAGGGATCCACAGTCTCTCCTGGGTGCTTCCCGTGCTATGTGACAGTTTTTATCTCGGCCATATTTCAAAATATGCAGCAACATCTGAAGCTGTGAAATTGCCCCCAAAATAACGTGGTTAAAGGAGGGAATAGGGGGAGTGTGACATGAGAGCTCTGGATGCAGCCCTGCCATCCCAGCTCCATCTAAGCTACTGTGCCCCTTGCACCCTGTGTCCAAGGCCACCCCACAGAGCCTCGTGTGCTTGTAATTGTGTACCTCACCCCACACCAGGTCACCAAAGGCCACGGGATAGCTCAGGGCTTTGCCACCCCCTTCTCAGTGCTCAGTCACATCAGCTTTCCAAAGCAGCACAAAACCCCAGAAACATACAGTGTTGTGAAAAGTATTTATTAGAATTAAATTTTCCTTGCTATTTTCAGTTTGTTGTAGAAATTAAAACAAGAACCACGTTTTCCAGCTGCAGAAATGCTGCTTTTCAGCCAGCTTTAGTCTGCGGCTGTTTACAAGACAGTATAAGTTTTCACTGCCTAATAAAAACAATCATCTGTATTCCATGGCTGCAAGCAACAACACTGTGAGAGAGTGGAGCAAGTCAAGGAGGTTTTGGAGAAGAATATGAATTATCTCACCCGGAGAACAAAGCATAGACGGACCCTGAGCACCGAGGGAAATTGCACAACAACGTGCAGGCGAGTCTCCAAACCTGCATGGTTTAACTGGGGGATTTTATACTTTTGAGAAAATATGTGTTTCTTGAATATCCCCATAGGTACAGTCTTGCCACTTATTTCTGCGATTTAAATTGTTGCTTCTGTTTTTTAAGGCCAGGCTGAACAGACAACCATTTAATCAGCCAAGTTGGATGGAGGAGCACAGGTACCACTGAGACTCGTGGGACAGCTCTGCAACGAGTAAGAACATTAAAGGCTGCTATAAAGAAACAAGCTCCTGTGCCCTCAGATGGACAGAATTATAAAAATCCCCACAGCATCCCCAAAGCACTGAATTAACTGGAGAAGGAGCTGTGTTTAATGTGATGGATGAAGCCCGTGGGCCCCATCATGGGGATGTGGCCGTCAGGGCACCGGTACCTGCCATCGCTCCCCGCAGCACCTCTCTGGGAACATCAGACAGGATAATTACGTACTTAAATCTGGGTGCTTTACTACACAGAAATTCATCTGCTACCCTCAGAGTCCTTGAAGTTAAAGAGGGATTTGAGTTACTGACATAATTTGTTCCCTGAGGGCTGTGGAAAGCAGAGAGAAGAACATCTGAATAATAACTCTTCGACCACGTCTTGAATGGGAGCGAGCGCTGCTCCAGAGTGAGACACAATGGGAAGCAAACGATTTCAAATGTTTATAAGCTACATAGCTCCCAGGCAGGATGGGGCTGGGCTTTTCCCCAAGCAGCAGCTGGGAGGGAGGTCAGTAAGTTCCCTTCAGAAACTGTAATTGCAACCTTCCAATACTTGAAGGGAACTTACAGAAAAGATGAGGCAAGACTATTTACCAAAGCATGTAGTGACAGAACAAGGAGGATGGGTTTAAATTGATAGAGAGTAGGTTTAGATTGGATATTGGGAAGAAATTCTTGGCTGTTAGGGTGGGGATGCCCTGGCACAGGTTTCCCAGAGAAGCTATGGTTGCTCCTAGATCCTTGTAATTGTCCAAGGCCAGGCTGGACAGGGCTTGGAGCCACCTGGGACAGTGGAAGGTGTCCCTGCCATGGCAGGGGGTGAGACTGGATGATCTTGAAGGTTGCTTCCAACCCACCCCATTGTGTGACCTGTGACGAGCCGCTTTGGGCTCACTTTGCCAGAGCTTCGTTAAGGTGATGCTGTCTGTGGTCCACGCTAGGGGCTGCTGTGTGTGAGGGGCTCCAGTGTGTGAGGGTCTGCAATGTGTGAGGGGCTCTGGTGTGCGAGGGGCCCCGCTGTGTGAGGGGCCCCAGCGTGTGAGGGGCTCTGGCGTGTGAGGGGCCCCGGCGTGTGAGGGGCTCCAGCGTTTGAGGGGCTCCAGTGTGTGAGGGGCTCCAGTGTGTGAGGGGCCCCGGCGTGTGAGGGGCCCCGGCGTAGGGGCTCTGGCGTGTGAGGGGCTCCGGCGTGTGAGGGGCTCTGGCGTGTGAGGGGCTCTGGCGTGTGAGGGGCCCCGGTGTGTGAGGGGCCCCGGCGTGTGAGGGGCTCCGGTGTGTGAGGGGCAACGATGTGTGAGGGGCCCTGGGGCTGCGGTGTGTGAGGGGCTCCGGCGTGTGAGGCCCGTGAGCTCCCCGCCCTCTCTATGCGGGCTGAGGCTGCCCTTTGCCCGGAGCCCTTTGTCGGTGCCCTTTGCCCGGAGCCCTCTGCCCGATGCCCGCAGCCCATGCTCGCCCCGGGGCTCCTGAAGGAAGCTCCACAAGATGGCGAGCGCGGGCCCGCGCGCGGCCCAAGATGGCGGCGGGCGGCGCGGCGCGGGGCCGGAGGCGCTCGGACACCCGCGGGCCCGCTCGCCCGGCCCGGCCACGGCCACGGCACCGGGCTCGGCGCTCCGCGGAGGCTGCCCCGGCTGCCGACCCCGCACAGCCCGCGGAGGAAGCAGCCGACACGGTGAGCCCGGTAGGAGGGACGGGGCTGGGTGGGATGGTGTGGGAGGGAAAGGCCGCGGGGCTGGGCGGTCACAGAGTGGGGGGATCTCAGGTGATTATTAACAGCTACAATCTGAGCATCATCATGTGGGAATTGTCAGGGGAATTGAAATAAATTTATCGGCGTTCCCGCTCCTCCCACGACGTTGTTTGTGCCGGTGCAGAAATACAGGGCAGATTCAGCTGCTCACCTTGCTGGGTGATGACAGGCCTGGCACAGTAATTCCCATTAGCATCATCCTTAAGAAAATAAGAACATGGTGATTGACCTCTTCCGGTGCTAGTTTATTTTCTGAGCAAAGTGTTTTTCTCTTGCTGGTGATGGACTGTACATTGTGGTTTATGTAAGCTGTCTGCTCCTCTTTTCCTCCCTTTACATGCACTTTCTACTAATTACTTTTCTTAGAAGGTTTGGATCAAAATGCCACTTGTGTGATGGAGCCCTTCTGTTCCAAAGCCAGCTTTGTAACTAAAGAGATGAGGTGATTATTTTTTCTTCTTTACTTCAAGTGAGCTTTACAATCTTGTCTTTTTTTTTCTAACAGTGTTCATCACATGAAGCTGCTGAAGGACGACCTGCAAAGAGGATGAAATACGAAGAAAGCAATCTAAAATCAGAGCTAGAGGGACTCACGTGTGAAAGTGGAAACCTTGCTGCGCTGGGGGAAACACCTAAAACGTCTGATGGGGATGGAGGTTCAGAAGATCCAAGAGAGAGCAGTACAATCCAACAGGAAAAAGATGAAAGCATCCCAGAGACTGACGAAGGGAAGCAGGAGAAGGAGCATGGCGTTTCTCTGGAGCCACACACGGTGAAATCCAGCGGTGCCCCATTAAAAACGGGTGGATACCTGCACCACTACCACGTGTTCAGTGAGGAGGAGAGCAGCTGTGGGAGCTGTGACGGGGCCACCTCGGAGGACGCGGATCAGCCGCGGAGGCCGATGCTGCTGGAGCACAGCAGTGGCCTCTCGGATGAGGACAGCAACCAGCCCATGCCAGTGCACCGCTTCTTTGGAGACGTTGAACTGGTGAGATGATGAGTCTGTTGCTGCTTTAGACCCAGCCCTGGTCTACTTAAAATTTGCCCCAAAACTCTTGGTGAATTTGGCCAGTAGTGTTTGGCCCTGTACCCCAGCCAAAACTGTCTCCATCAGAGATGAAATTTCTTGCCCAGCTGAATTCATTTCAGGTGTAAAATCTTTCTTATTTTGACTTTTTAGTCCAGTTCCATGGGATAGGTATTTTTACTGATAATGACATTATAGAGACACAATATTGTTGGCAAAATAGATTTTTGTTGGTCTTTGGTTCTTAACAGAATCACAGAACAGCTTGGGTTGGAGGGATCTTAGAAATCAGCCAGTTCCAGCCCTGCTGCATTGGGATTGTTTGGAATGGAAACTGATTTCTGTCTACCTCAGCTTTTGAACTGACCCAAGGGCCAGAGCTTTACATTTGAATCCTTTTGAGAAGCATAACTTTGGGGCAAGTGATGCTGCCTCCTTTTAGGTGTTTCTTGTGGTGTTTAGGGAGCAGTGAGGATTTGTTTAGGGAGCCCTTCACCCTCTGCCAATCCTCCTCACACCAGTGGAAGGAATGCCAGCCCTGGGAGTGCCCATGGGTTTGATTTGGGCACACTCCCCTCAAAGCCCCACAGCTTTACCTTCATGCCACTGCTCCCAAGCTGAGGCTTGGTTCCTGTGTCAGCTGAGGAGGATGGGAGCTGGTGGAGGTAGGAGTTCTAGTTCTGCCTCCACAGACTCTCCTTGTTGATTTGATCTTTTCCTTCCAGCACCTTCCAGCAGTTGTGCTCCCGAGTGTGACGAGGAGCAGGCGAGAAGCCAGGAAGCTGCATTTCATTGCAAAGGAAGATGATGAAGAGGAGGAGGAGGAAGAGGATCATGTCTAACAACAGACTGTAAACAAATTAAACCCTTCTTCTTTCTCTTTGTGACCACATGGCAATGGCTGGGTCAGTAACATAAGGTGTCTTTGTCTTTTCTCAGGGAGAGAACTGGGAGAGTTTGTTTTTCTGGAATTGGCAGATACAGTATTCCAGTGATTATCTGGGGCAAATACTGAATTTTCAGTGATTTGGAAATAAAGTATAATTGAGCACTTTACCACTGATATTTGAGAAAAAAACCCCAGGGAATATAGAAGTTCTTATGACTTTTTTGTAAATTTGAGCCTCTATCTTGAGAAAATATTTGGTTTCACTCATTTTTTTTGCAAAATAGTCAAGAAAAGGATGCTGGAGCAAAGTTCTTTAATTCTGCAGTCTGTGGCATCCAGGTAATGAAGGGGCCAACTGACTCCCTGGTACAAGACAGGTCAAAGGTCTTCCTTGTGTGGGTTGTTTACACCTAACCCAGGACCAATTACACCTCTAAAATGCAGTTCTGCTGGCAAAATGAAATGCAGGATGTCAGAATGGATTCAGTGTGCTCATCTCTGCGAGTTCAGCACATTTTCATTGCACATCAGCTCCCCAAACACCCACCCCGTGGTGCTGCCTCCTCCCTCCACCTGCTGCTCTAAGTGTTGTCCTTCGTTGATTTCCAACTGGTTTCCAGCAGGGATTTTGGAAACAAATGCTTTGGTGATGATACACAACAAATACCGTCCCTTTATGGACAGAGGGAGATTGCTGAGGCTGTGGGACAGCCCCCTCTGCATGTTTAAAAAACAAAAGGAGCAACCTGAGCCAATTCCAGGAACTGTTAATTCACCCAGTGTTTGTGGGAATATTTCTTTGAAAGTGTGATTATGCAATAAGCTTCTAGATATTTATTGTTATAGCTCCTTCTATGTTTCTAAAAATAGAGAGAAAATGTTATCAGCAGATGGTTTAAATAAATATTAATTTCTACAGCTAGAGCTTGTTAAACATTCAAAAGTTGTAAGGCAAACAAATTGCATATGCATGGCATGGTAATGCATTTCCATTTCCACTCCAGCTGATGCATTGTTTCTGTCAAAGATATTTCTTGGCTCCTTTTCACTCTAATTCTGTAACACGGAAAAATCCAGATTTTTTAATTGCATATTCATAGTTCCAGCCCAGCTCTGTGTTGCAGCAGCTCCTCCCAGCATTCCTTCAGTGCTGTTTGCTGCTGGCTCTTTCTAGCAAACACAGTTTCACACAGACATTCATTTCACTTGCAAAATGCATTTTCAGCCACACAGGTGACACTGTGTTTGTCATCAGAATCCTGCCAGTGCTGCCCTGCCCAGTGTCAAAGAGTGCAGGAAAGATCAATTAGATGCAGTGGAATTAGAAATCCCGTGTTAAAAATGCACCTCCTAGCTTTTCAGATTGCAGGTTTTGGGAGGGGACTGAGTTTGTTGTTTAAAGTAAAATCAATACTGTCTGTAGCAAAGCTTCCAAGACCCAGTAATTTGGGGCTCAGGCAGAAATATCATTTCCACACAATTTCATCTGGACTAACTGGTCCAGGACCAACAATATGAGGGGAAAATAGAGCTTTTCCTAATTATTTACAGAGCAGTAAGTAGCTGGTGCTCAATTCATACACACATTTCCCTTCATGCTCTGTCACCCCTGATTAATGTCTTGTGTACCTTCATGTACTCACACACACACAGATGTGGGGGCATTTTTTAATTTAAAATGTTCACACGATCTACATTGACAATCCCAAAAGTTCAGTTGCTATCAGCTGGTATTAAAAAAAATTCAAGTAAAAAATTGAACTATTCCTGATTTGTTGCCTGAGGTAGGAAATGTTTTACCAAAACAATGTTCTCCAAGGCAGTGGGTAAACATTACTGTAAACATAATCATTATAGCTGTCCTTTCTGCTGGTGTGTCAAGCAAACTCAGGCTGGAGGCAGAAAGTGTTAGAAAGGAGAGGGAAATCAGCAGGGAAGATGGCAAACAAAGGTGGAAAAAGCAAAAAAAAAAAAGCCATAGCCTTACTCTTCTTTCTAGGAGATGCACATCTGAAGCAATGGCAAAGGGGCGGGTGGGGATGAGGGCAGAAGTTTGGCACTCTGCTGCTGAGCCACCTTTGGCATTCCTGAAGCTACCTGAAAAAGGCACAGATAAAACGTGATCCTAAATCCTTCTTTGGTTTGATCTCCAGAGGAACAGGAGTCTATGAGCCCCTGCAGGTTAGTTTGTAAAAAAAAAGTTTTGTCCAAGTTTCATTTCTGTGTACTGTGAATTTTGGGCCAACATTGGGCAGAGATGACAGGGTAGAATCAGAGTCAGCCTCTGGCTCATTTTGTACCTTTATCACACTTGATTTGAGGGAAGCTTGTAAGGAGTGGGAAGGCAGGAGAGGACAATTAAATGGGATATTGGAGTGTGCTTTGTGAGGCTCTGGTTTGGTTACCCAGCCAGTCTTGTGCCAGGGATTTTCAAATAGTTCTTATTTAAGAAATTGGAGCTATTTAAAAACAACAGGCTGACATGATTGAAAAAGGCAGCAGGTCCCTAACAGAGACAGCACTAGGAAATCTCATGGGTTTGCTTCCTCTTTCTGTAAATTCTGGTTTTGTCACAGCTGAGGTTATGATTGGTTTTCTTATGGCAAGCAATATGTACGAGTTTTAAATTATCCAGGGTAAACAGCAGCTGATAGAAGTATTCCCAGTTCACTTCTCTCCCGTCTCGTGTTTTGACAGCTTCTGCCAGTTCTGGGACAACAGCACGTTTCTTCTCAATTCTTGGGGACACAAAAGAGAAGACAATATTGCCATCAGGAGTTTTTTCAGAATAATCAAGCCTCCATCTTCCTTTCAGAGCCAGGCAGAACTGGAATTCTTTCTCCGTTACTAGGCATATGATTTTTTTTCCCCAAGGAAATTAGTTTAGCAAATCTTGTTTACTTCACACCAACATTTGAAATGGTTCAGAGGGGGTTTTGCTGGAGAGGAGAATTCACACGGATAGTGCAGCGAGGAGGGGTTTGCTTCCATACACAGAAAATCTGCACAGAAGCAAAGCAGCTAATGAGAGGCAGCATTTCATCTGTCTTCAGGGTTTTGTTCTCACAGCAGCTGCAGCATCCCAGCACCTTTTCTCAGCACATATTCACAGCAGAGCTGACTGCACAGCGCGGGGAAGGGACTAAGGCTGAACCTTTCTGGTGAAGCTGAAGGCCACAAAGCAGGTGGGTCTGGATTAACATTTTGTACATACACGTGGTCGAGGTTCCAGGTGCTGAAGAGGATCCTGCTTTCCCTGTTGCTGTAGGGGTTGATGGAATGCTTACAGGGGCAGTCATCTCTGTCAAAAGGGCCCTGTGAAAGGTGTCACTTGTCACAGCATGGTCCTGCCACATGCTAGTGAGCCAGAGAGATCCTGCACCCACATCCCCCCAGCCTGACACTGCACCCAGGAAGCTGTTTCCTTCCTCTGGTGCTGAGGGGAGGATGGGATCAAACTGAAAAAAGGGGAAGTTTAAGTCAGTTATGCAGAAGAAATTCTTCCCTGTGAGGGTGGGGAGGCCCTGGCACAGGGTGCCCAGAGAAGCTGTGGCTGCCCCTGGATCCCTGGAAGTGTCCAAAGCTGGGCTGGATGGGGCTGGGAGCAAACTGGGCTAGTGAAATGTGCCCCTTTAACGTCCCTTCCCACCCAAACCATTCGGTGATTCTTCAGGAAGGCTGCAGGTACCTGACAGGAGAACCACCCCTCTGCGGTGCACAGGCGTGCTGCCTCCTCCTCCTCCCTTCTGTCAAAGTAGCACCCGTTGTACTTCACGGATTTCAGTTTATCTGCCATCAGGTCCATTATCCCTCTGTAGGCATCCTGTGCTGCAGGATGAACGTTTGAAATAAAACCACTAACCTAGAGGGAGGAAACCCAGCAATCACTCCTCAGTTCCTGTGGCAGCCTGAGGCTCTTTTCTACAATCACAGCTGTAGAAATACTTTATATTCCTGCAGCCACAGAACTACTGTTACAGCTTGACGTAAGTTACTTCAACAGAAACTTTTACCTCTCTCATGTAGCCCCGCATTCTGCTCTCACAGCTATGCCGCAGGTAGCTGGATTTGTTCTTGAACCGAGACTCCAGCCCTGGAGGGAACGAGATTATTTTGTACCTCAGCACAGCTCCTGCCCAGCTGGGAGCTCATGCTGGCTTTCCACTAACTCAGGCTGCACAGGTTTTTTAATTTCCCATTTTTATTTTAGTGGTTCAGGACTACCCTGCTCTTAAACACTTAAAAGAATGCTGTAGAGCATCTGCTGAGAGAGCAGTAGCTGGTATTGTTATGTTTCTTGTCACTCTCTATGTGGAATGCCAAGACATTGTGAAAGGAAAACAATTGTTGGGGAAGAACTGCAGTAATGGCTTGGGAATGGGAAGGGAGACTTGCAGATTGTAAAGAGATCATAAAGCACAGTTAGCTGGCAGAGATGTCCCAATTATCCATATACTATTAGGAAATCATTAAAACATCATAAATGCAGATTTATATTAATGAGGGAAATGCATTTCAGAGTTATCTTTATTAAACCAATAGGGAACACCATTTTTAAAAAAAACATTTTAGCTTTGATACTAAACTACTGACACATTTAGCTTTAGATACTAAATGTGCATGTATTTTAAAGAAATCTAATTACACGTGCTAATGGAAGGGATAACTAAAGCCCTGACCAAGTCCCCAATCCCACCAGCCAGAAGAGCTCCCAAACTTTGCTTTAAGAGCAACAAAACTGACAGAAGTGACTTTTCAGAGCAGAGCAAGACCCGGGAGTCCCGTAGCAGCTTCCTACGGCAACAAACTCACCTTCAAACCATTTCTTATCATCCTCCCTGTTCTCGGCCAGGATGTTTTCGCTCAGGTTGTGGATAAGATCCGCCAGCAGCTTCTGCCTGTGGGGAGCCCGCTCGTCGGTCAGCAGCCTCCGCGCAGCCTCCACCAGAGCGCCCTGCTGGCTGCAGAACGCGGCCAGGAGCAGCTCGATGTCGCTGGCACCTGGGGCAGGCGAGGCGGCACCGGCTGAGCCCCCGGGGCCGCCGCTGTCCCCGCGCCCCCCGCCCGGCCCCGCACTCACAGCCCCGCCAGCTCTCCCCGGGGCCCAGCAGCACCAGCTCCGTCTGCGGCGGCAGCGCTCGGAAGTAGCTCTCGGTCAGCTCCGTGCCGTCCTCGTACAGGCACAGGCGGCTGCCTGCCAAGGGAAGCTGCCCCTCGGGCGGGTGAGACCCCGGCTCCGGGTGAGACCCCGGCTCCGGGCGAGACCCCGGCTCCGGGTGAGACCCCGGCTCCAGGCTGGACCCCTGCTCCGGGTGGGTGAGACCCCTGCTCCGGGCGGGACCCCGGCTCCGGGCTGGACCCCGGCTCCGGGCGGGACCCCGGCTCCGGGCTGGACCCCTGCTCCGGGTGGGTGAGACCCCGGCTCCGGGTGGGTGAGACCCCGGCTCCGGGCGGGACCCCGACCGCAGCGGGCAGCTCCAGCCCGGCCCGGAGCTGCGGCACCCGCTAGTCCCGGCCCCGTCCAGCATCGCCAGATCCGCCCCGCATCCATAAGCAGCATCCCAGCCTGGTATCGTCCCGGCACCCGGCAGCCCCCCGCCCGTCCCGCCCCGCACCTCCAGCAGCCGGCAGCCCTTCCTCAGCAACCCGCGCAGGCTCCCGGCCGCCACGCCGAACTTCTGCGGGCTGCCGCAGCCGCGCAGGCGGAAGGGCCGCAGCGGCTCCGCCATGGCCGGCCCGGTTCCCCCCCGCGCCCCGCTCTCCCTCCGCCCCCGGGATCCCCGCGGGCCCCGCCGGGCTCCCGCCTGCTTTGTCCGCCGCCCGGCCTGGCTGTGCTCCCGGAGCGGCGCGGCCGTGACCCTTCGGGCCTGCGCCGGCTGCGGGGTTGGGGCCGGTGAGGGGAGGGAGGGACGGGGCCGGGGT